CCTTAGGCTTTTACAGCTCCTCTGATTTCCCTTCTGGTTTTCTCTTTCCTTCTAGTTATAGAATTCCCAGCCAGTCAACTTTCCTGTAGTTCTGGATAATGTCCATTTTGTATTTTAGTTGTATTTTTTGAAATTGTTGTGTGAGGCTGCAGTTAGGTGTTTACCTATGCCACCATCTTGGTTTCTCTTATCATTTAGCATTGAAGGTCAGATAAAGAGAATGCAAAAGGAGTTAATCACCAGCAAACCAGTATTACATGAAAAGTTGAAGGGTATTCTTTAAGAAAAGAAGAAAAAAAATTAAAATGTGAACAATAAAATGGCAATAAATATATGTCTATCAACAATTGAATCTAAAAATCAAAATAAATAAGTAAAAAAATATATATTCTATTATTTTATTAGGATATTTTGCATGTATATTCACTAGTGACACTGGTCTTTGGTTTCAAAATAGGAATTTACCTTTGTCAGATGTTGGAGAAATAATTAAAAACCATTATCTGCCAAGCAGAAAATCTTCTCTACAATATAGAAAAGAGACAGGTTTATTACTGAATAAGCATTAACCAGAGTGCACTGCACTTCATAGGACATCACTAATGAGACTTTAAGGACAGAAAGAAATCTAACCCTTTTATTTTTTTGTTTTATTTTTTTTAATGTTTTATTGATTTTTTTACACAGATGAAGGGAGGATAAAAAGTTAGAAACATTGATGACAGAGAAACATCAATCAGCTGCCTCCTGCACATCTCTTAAACCTGGACCTTTCAGTCCATAGGCCGATGCTCTATCCACTGAGCCAAACTGGTTTGGGCAAATCTGACCCTTTTAAAAAGCCAGGTAGATACAACCAATACATACATGCTTTCAAAATAAGTAACTTGTCCTCCATTTGCTACATATAGTTCATCCTACATTCACCTGGTAAGTTAATTACCTTTACTCCAAAGAAAAATAAAACAACTTTATTTTTATGACAAGCAGACAGAACTTGAAGCCAAAAGCCTAGGCTAAACTCCCACAGACAGGTAATTAAGGGTGCATCTTCCTTCATGTTTATATTTCAAAGAGATGGGTCCAAAGCCCTAAGAAAGACTTGACTTCCTTGTAATATTGGCAGAGGGTATTTAGCTTTTAAAAAGATTTATAAGTATCTCCAGGGGACAAGGAAAGTATTTACAATGGCACGTTTTTCTCAAGGAACTATTCTAAGAAAAGGAAGGGGTGCCCAGCCAGTGTGGCCTGGTGACTGAGCATCAACCCATGAATCAGGAGATCCCAGTTCAATTCCCAATCAAGACATATGCCAGGGTTGTGGGCTCGATCCCCAATTGGGGGTGCGGGGTGTCAGGAGGCAGCTAGTCAATGATTCTCTCTCATCATTGATGTTTCTATCTCTTTCTCTCTTCCTCTCTGAAATCAAGAAATAATGTTTTTAAAAAAGGAAAGGAGGGGCTTCTGTCTTTTTCCCTTTGGCACCAGGGAAAATTCTTTTTTTCTATTTGTATTTAGTTTTACCAACACATGTTAAGTCATAAAACACTGTTTTATTTTACCAGTGCAATGATATTTCATTTTTAAATATATATATTTTATTGATTTTACACAGAAAGGAATTGAGAGGGACAGAGAGTTAGAAACATTGATGAGAGAGAGTCATCGACCAGCTGCCTCTTGCACACCCCCAACTGGGGATGTGCCCGCAACCAAGGTACATGCGCTTGACCAGAATCGAACCCGGGACATTTCAGTCCGCAGGCTGACACTCTATCCACTGAGCCAAACTGGTCCCAGCTGATATTTCATATTTTAAGTTTTGAACACATTGATGAATATCATTGTATTAAAAGTCTAAAGAAAATTCACATAATCTTATTAACTAATACTCTTAGCCCTTATTTAGATTAGGGTTTCTCGACCTTGGCACTATTGACATTTTAAGCTAGATAATTTTTATGTTGTGGAGAGCTGTCCTGTGCATTCTGGGATATTTAGTAGCATCCCTAGCCTCTACTCTTAAGTCTCTACCTGTGTTCAGGGTATCCTCTCGTGTCACTTCACGTCCAGCTCTGCCTCCCGGATACTATGGGCCACCAAAATAGTTCTAGTCTTGCTTTTCCCAGGGGTCCTTCAATTCTTTCTTCACCTTCAATTGTATGGACAGCCTTTGCTATTAACTTATCTCTGTCTTCAAAAGAATTCAGGATATCTGTCCTAGCACCTATCTTAATTTCTTATACTTTCATACTTTTCTACCAGACCTTTGCTATTCAATACAGCAGTCATTAGCCACACTTGGCTATTTAAATTTTTTTTTAAATTAGCTTCAGAAGCAAGATGGTGAATGTGTGGAGGTTGAGTGTTCTGAGTGCCCAAGGAGACCAAGAGAGAGGAAGCGAAACATCAATGTGAGAAAGAAACATCAATCAGTTGGTTACCTCCTGCACGTGGCCCCACTGCTCATCAAACCTGAAACTTGGCTCTTTTCCTCTGATCCCCGTGGTCAGACCTGCTCAAATCTCAGCATTTCTCCAGGACCAACCTATCCCAGGATGGTGTGGAATACAACACATTCACCTGTCTACCCAGTCACCATTCTGGTTCCAAGGCTGCATCTCTCCACTGGACTGATGAGAGGGTTATCAATGTTTTGCCCCTGGGCCTACTTCCAACTGATTATTTGAATTCTTCCTCTGTGAAGGGACTACTCCCTGGCTGCAGTCCTCACTCGCCATGGTCACTGGGGCCTTGGACAAGTTGTTATTGACGATGTTCACAAGGATGCACTGCAGAAAGCTGTCAAGGCAGGCCTCCTGGCACTCGGCTTTCACCTTTGCTGGGCTTTGTTATTTCAAGTATCACAATGTGAGCATCTGCAAGGCTGTTGCCACGCTGTGGAAGCTCTGATCTTCTTGTCTTAATACCTTGAAAATTGATATGCCTCTGCTCTGCCAGTCATCTCACAATAAGGAGGAAATAACCCTATGTCCACTGGTGAGATAAATCTCTTCTCCTAACCACCTGGCTAGTTTTAGAATTTAATCTGTGAGGAAAAGGTTTGAGAATAATTCTATCCAAGAAATTGTGAGACTGAGTTCCACATTCTGGCAAATGAATGAAGTTGTCTTCCAGCTTCTTACGAGATTCACAATGTAACTGAATGTTATGTATGAGCTTTCGCATTTTAATTTACCAAACTCTTTCTTTTTTTAAATATATTTTATTGATTTTTTACAGAGAGGAAGGGAGAGAGATAGAGAGCTAGAAACACCAATGAGAGAGAAACATCAACCAGTTGCCTCTTGCACACCCCCTACCGGGGATGTGCCCGCAACCAAGGTACATGCCCTTCACCAGAATTGAACCTGGGACCTTTCAGTCCGCAGACCGATGCTCTACCACTGAGCCAAATCGGTTTCAGCAATTTACCAAACTCTTAAAGGGAACTAGCTTTATTACTGTCAATGCCTAATCAAACTTCAATATTTGCCCTAGGAGTTATGGAGAAAGGGAAAACTATTAACTCATAAGACTGCAAAAACTTAGGCAGCACTTAATGTCTGAAACTTCCCCCCTTTGTTCAGTTGATACCACTCACTGATGTTATATGCCTTTGGAAAACTTTAGAGTTAAGAAATGCTGATATTTCACTAATTTCTAAATCCTGAGAAAAAGAGCCTGGAGAAATTCTGAATATAGACAAGTTCCATGCAGGAAAGAGGTACCCATGTAGATGATATATCAAAATATTACATGTTCTAAACTGAGACTTACTCTTCAAATGTGTTCATTTTACATGTCCCAAAATAATATCCACAAATATAAAACGTTAAATAATAAATTTATTTTCTGACTGTGAGAATCTCTAATGTGAAATGTATTCTATGAATATAAAGATTTTTTTAAATAAAATTTTTTTAATAAATAAAATATTAAAAAGTTAAAAATTCAGTTCCTCAGTCATTCTAATCTTAGTTCAAATACTCAATGTTCATATGGGGCTGGTGGCTACTGTACTGAACAACATACATGTAGAGTATTTCCATCTCTGCAGAAAATTATCTTAGTACTGCACTAGGTCATGCAGTCCTGTATGTCAGTGTATACCCAAACTTATGTAAGATACTTCCTGACAGGTACTTCATAAGTATTTAGGAAATTAATCAATGAAAGATCTTGGCAATCATTTCACTTTAGCTTGTACTTTTAAAAAAATTTGTTATTTTCAAATTTAATTATATAATACTCCCAAGAAACCTGACTCTATCCAACATGTACATCTGTCATTCATACCGTCTCCTCTGCAAGCTTCGCCTTCCACCCTGAGATTCTGCCCACCACTGTTTCAGCTATTCATTCACTCAACTATTTAGTAAGCATTTGTTTTGTGCCAGCTACCACTCTGGGTAATGAAAATAAGTCAACAACAACAACAACAACAAAAAAAAACAAAAAAAAAGAGGGGTGGGGGGAAACCACAAAACCCTCCCAGTGAATTGTAATTTTTAAAAGTTTAGCCCTAGCCAGTTTTGCTCAGTGGTTAGAGCGATAGCTGGAGGACTGAAGGGTCCCAGATTTGATTTCACTCAAGGGCATGTACCTCAGTTGCAGGATCCATCCCCACCCCTGGTTGGGGCACCTATGGGAGGCAACAATCACATCGATGTCTCTCTCTGTATTTCACCCCCGCCCTTCCACGCTCTCTAAAAATCAATGGGAAAATATTCTCAGGTAAGGATTAACAACAATAACAACAACAAAAAGTTTGTTCAATACTCTACAGAGGCTTCTAGCAGAAAACTGGTAGAAAAGAGGAGAAACTAGAGAAGATAACACTTTGGAGTTCTTCTTCAGGCTCCATCCTTGGTTACAATGAAAGGAATCACAGATCCAGTCACTTAATGGAAGTTGTTAGGAGGGAAATGATAGGAGAAGGAAAGCGAACACTCAAGAATCCTGATAAAAAGGTGTTTCAGGAAGATCTGAGGACTTACCTGGAACATGACTTTGCAGTTTCCAGTAAACAACACAGTTGTCTTTCCGAGCTCTTGTGTAATTGGAGGGCACTGTCCTGAGATGGCAAATTAAGGACAGGAAAAAGCAGTCAAGAAAAATCGGACTTATCTTGCAGCTCTGTAACACACCTGCGTGGAGAAAAACAATGGTAATCATTTTCTAGGGCTCTGATCTTCCCCTGAACTAACAGAGTATTCCTTGGCACGAAGTAACTAAACCATTCACTAGGTTCCACCTGCAAGTCAATCAACTTTTATATTATCTAAGAGAGAAACTCATAAAACAACAGTAGTAATCATGTTAAATATGAGCTTATTTAATAATCACCACTCTGCATGTGGGCATTCACATTCCTTTAAAAAAAGTTAAAAAAAAAAAAAAAAATATATATATATATATATATATATATATATATATATATATATATTATTGGTTTCTACAGAGAGAAAGAGAGAGGAATAGAAAGAAACATCAATGAAAGAGAAATATCGATGAATCAGCTGCCTCCTGCACACCTCCTATTGGGGATGTGCCCGCAACCAGAATCGAACCTGGGACCCTTCAGTCTGCAGATCGACGCTCTATCCACTGAGCCAAACCTGTTAGGCCCAGATTTCTTTAAACTACTGAAACGGCTATATTGAAACAGTTGTTCAAAGTTACACAACTGGAAAGAGTCAGCTTCATGACTGGATGACATAAAAACAACTGCAGACGGCGTTTTCTTTCCGTTAGTACTCTTATCACGATCTGCGAGGTGAGCGCCCTCCTGGCGTCCCCTTTGCAGAGAGCAAGGCCTCGAGGCCCAGAAAGCTGAGGCCCTCGTGGGCTCTCACCGCGGGGCAGACGCTGGGAGCAGCCGGCGCCGGTGCCGGTGCCGGTAGCCTGAGGCCCGCGCGGCCCTCCCGTGACCCTCGCGTGCCCAAACCCGCGCACCGGACGCGCCGGGTCGCTGTGCGGGGACAATGGTAGCCGCCCTCACGGGAACTGCACCGCGCGTCTTCCCAGCGTCCAGGACGGAGAAGTTCGCCTGGCCCGACACTAGCGCGGAGTGGACCACGAGCGGAGCCCACAGCTAAGCGGCATTTCTCAGAACGCTCCGCGCCGCAGGCACTAGTACCGGTGCTGCGCCCGGCCGCCTCCAGCAAAACCACACTTCCCAGAAGTCTCCGCGGCCGCGCGCGGCCTCCGCGCCCCGCGAGAACACAGCCCTGCCGGCGTAGGGCGGCGGGACCCGCACGCAGAGAGAGGGGAAGACGGGAGCCTCTGGGGGACCCGCCGCCCGCCGCGTTGTAAGAATCACCGCGCGAGTCACAAAACTGCGCTTCCCAGAAAGGGATGCGGGCGGAAGGTCTTTGCACGTGGGTTCGGCCCGGACGTGGGCAGTCCTTGCATCCCCCGGACAGGAGCTGGCCTCCTTCGGACACAATTCTTCTGACGTGCTTATCTGGAATAGTTCACTTTTTTAAAAATATAATTTATTGATTTTTCTTACAGAGAGGAAGGGAGAGAGATAGAGAGCTAGAAACGTCGAGAGAGAACCATCAACCAGCTGCCTCCCGCAACCAAGGTACATGCTCCTGACCGGAATCGAACTCGGGACCTTTCAGTCCGCAGACCGACGCTCTACCACTGAGCCAAACCGGTTTCGGCTGGAATAGTTCACTTTTTAAAAACCATCTCTTCTCCCAAAACTCCCTCCAGCAAATGGTCCACGTCTATTCTCAGTAGAAAAACTTCTTGACATTTTATTCTAAGTTAATTTTCTTTAATTTTAAATTTACAGCCTCTCCATAACTATGTCTTTTCAGGAAGCATGCCTATTACTTCCCCGAGGCTGCTTTTCTCTAGGTCAGTGTGATCTCATCACTAAATATGAGAGAGACTTTTTTTCTTGACCTCTTAGCATATGCTATAACTGACCATTTTTCATCAGTCTCTTATGGTTCTATGATACTCCATTTTTCTTAAATTTCATCTTGACGGTTGCTGCTTCTCAGTTTCCTTTGCTTGTTCTTCATCTTTTTTGAGCTCTTAATGGGTGTGTTTCCCTAGCAGGTTTGGCTCAGGGGATAGAGCATCAGCCCGTGGACTGAAGGTCCCCATGTTCCATTCCAATCAAGGGTACATGGGTTGTGGGCTCCATCCCATGTGGGGTGTGCAGAAAGCAGCCAATCAATGATTCTCTCTCTTCATTGATGTTTCTATCTCCCTCTTTCTCTCTGAAATCAATATAAATATTAAATACACAAAAATGAGTGTACTTTTTTTGTTTGTTTTTGGTTTGGGGTTTTTTTTTTGTTTGTTTGTTTTTTGTTAATCCTCACCCAAGGATATTTTTCCATTATTTTTTTTTCTTTTGTTAAGAGTGAAATGTAGGGAAAGAGAGAGAGAAACCTCGATGTGAAAGAGACACACCTATTGGTTGCCTTCCTCCCTGTCCAATCAGGACAGGATCGAGCCTGCAACCAAAGTGCATGCACTTCACAGGAATCGAACCTGGGACCCTTCAGTATGCAGGGTGAAGCTCTATTCACTGAGCCAAGCCGGAGAGGACTTGAGCTGTAAATATTAAAGGGACCCAGGACTTGATACTTGGCCTCCATTTTTTATATTTTCTACATGTTTTCACTTTTGCATTTTCATGTGTTTATGAATCATTTTTAAAGATGACTCTCAAGTCTTGATAGTCCAGTCTGGTCTCTCTCTGGAACTCAATTCATATATCTAGTGCTTTACCTCCAAGCTCACGTGGTTGTTCATTGTCAAACTGCACAAGTTTCATGAGACCCACACAAGCCTTGTCTCCTTATTCCCATCCTCTTTCAAGCTCCCACCAATTAGTAAATCGAACCCCTATTACCATGGTCGGCAAACTGTGGATCAAGAGCCACATGCGGCCCCTTGAGTGTGGCTCTTCCACAAAATACCAAGCCTGGGTGAGTCAATTTTGAAGAAGTGGTGTTAGAAGAAGTTTAAGTTTAAAAAATTTGGCTTTCAAAAGAAATTTCAATCGTCATACTGTTGATATTTGGCTCTGTTGACTAATGAGTTTGCCTATTAGATAAAGCTGAACATCCAGACATTTCCCTTTACTGGTATTTCTCTTTTGTCCTCACCCTCCCCACATGTATACTGTAACAGATGTTTCTATCTCTCTCTCCATCTTCCTTCCTCTCTAAAATCAATCAATCAATATATTCTATCTAATAAAAGAGAAACATGCAGCTGAAACCGGTTTGTTTCAGCCTGCAGACTGAAAGGTCCAGGTTCGATTCCGATCAAGAACTTGTACCTTGGTTGTGGGCACACGGTCGATGTTTCTCTCTCATCAATGTTTTTAGCTCTCTATCCCTCTTCCTTCCTCTCTCTAAAAAAAATCAATAAAATATATTTTAAGAGAGAGAGAGAGAGAGACATGCAAATTGACTTGCACCTTTGCTATGCCCACAGGCATGCCCACCAGCCAATCAGGGTGAGTGTGCAAATTAACCCAACCAAGATGACAGTTAATTTGCATATCTAGACCAGAAGAGAAGACTGAAGACAGCGTAGAAAGAAGCCAAGCACTGCAGAAGGGAGCAAAGCTTCGGAAAAGCAAGCAAGCAGGGCGGGGGAGAAGGGAGAGAAGCAGGCAGGCCAGGCAGCGACCACAGCAGGAAGCCCTATTGGAGGAATTTTCTTGCAATGAGCCTCTAATGTGTGTGTGTGTGTGTGTGTGTGTATATATATATATATATATATATATATATATATATATATATATATTTGTGTGTGTGTGTATATATATATATATATATATATATATTTAAGTTGAATGTTTCAACAGTAAGAACTCAGCTTTGCTAACAATTATGTATCATCTAGTAATAATTAATGTCGTTTTTAAACATTTGTTTAAAATCTTGCTTGGCGTTGACTTGTATTGACATAACCTTCAAACACGTGGTATCTACAGAACGTGTGAAGTGCAATTAACAAGTTTTGCTTGAAAAAGTTTGTGTTTGGTTTGGTTTTTGTTGCAAAACTAGGGCTAAGAAGATGGCGGATGAAGAGCATATTCGGCACTGCATGCTTTACGAGTTCCAATTAGGAAGAAAAGCAAATGAGGCTGCAAAAAACATCTGTAGTGCTCTTGGTCAAGATGCAGTTAGCGCCAGAAAATGCCAGCGTTGGTTTGAGAAATTTCGCAAGGGAAATTTTTTGTTAGATGACAAGAGTGGTCGAGACCGTGTGTCCAATTTTGATCAAGAATCTCTTCAAGCTCTTTTGGTGCAAAATCCTCAAATTACCCAACAAGAGCTTGCGACAACTTTAAATTGTTCACAAAAAACAATTTCCAATCAATTGCGTGCACTTGGCAAAGTCCAAAAGTTTGGAAAATGGGTTCCTCATGAGTTGACCGACAACAACCGTAATAAAAGAGTCACAATTTGCAGTTCGCTCCTCTCTCATCAAAACCGTTTGCCGTTTTTAGAGCCAATTGTTACCGGAGATGAAAAATGGGAGCTGTATGTTAATTTGAAAAGGCGGCCTCAATGGTTGGACAAAAATGAGGCTTCGCAGCCCAGCCAAAACCTGACTTGCATGCGAAAAAAGTGATGTTGTGTGTTTGGTGGAATTTTAAAGGAATTCTTCATTATGAACTTTTACCATCTAACCAAACCATTACAAGTGCAGTGTATAGTGCCCAATTGGAAAGGTTAGCCCAACCTTTAAGAGAAAAAAAACCCGCGCTAATTAATTGGAAGGGCGTAATTCTTCACGATAACGCACGACCGCATACTGCAAGAATCACTGCTGAAAAACTGCGCCAGTTGGATGGGAAGTTCTCCCTCAACCTGCATATTCTCCTGATATTGCCCCTTCCGATTACCATTTGTTTCGTTCTTTGCAAAACTTTCTTCTTGGAAAAAAATTTAATAATGAAGAATGCCTCAAAAATGCATTGACCGAATTTTTTGCATCAAAATTCTGTTGAGAAATC